GTTTTAACCCCCTCCCCCCGCCAATACAGCCATCTGTGCCCGGACCGCGTGCCCCTCTTTCTGCACCCACTGAACGAATGCGAAGTGCCCGTAAGGCTGGGTTGTGGAGGGCAGGGCTTAGGGCTTGACAGCAGAGGGAGGAGGGAGATGGGCCCAAGCATAGCCCTCCCGTGGGCCAGAGCTTATAGCCTGGGAGCAGCATAAACTCGAATGCCAACAGGCTTGCTGTGAATCCCCTCTGGGGCGCTGGCGGCCTGGAGACCCTTATGCCTCCCCCCAAGGGGCAGGCTCCAGCCCCAGAGTCCGGCCCAGTCCAGGGAAGGGCAAAGAAATAAGACAAAATGACCAGGGTGGGCCCCGAGACCCAAGCACTGGACTCCTTCTGTCCAGCCCTGTGACCCAGGTCACGTCCCTGAGTCTCTCAGGGACTGAGTTTCCCCATCTGTAGACAAAATGGCACAGAATGAATCCAAAGGCTGTACAGCGGCAGCTCACAGGCTGGCAGGGACTCCCAGACTGTTGTACTTGGCCCACATGGTGATTTTTAACAAACACATTAGCTGCCAGCATTTGAAGCTCGGAGACTCCCCTGCAGTCCCTACTCCCCGTTTCCCTTATCTGGTCACCCCAGGCCTGCGTTTCGCTTGCAGCAGGGGGTGCACTGGGGCTGCCCCTCATGTGGGGCCATGCGCGATCCATTCTTCGAATCTACAGGGAGACTGGAAGGCCTGGCCCACAGGCCCTGGGTGGCAGAGCAGCCCCTCGAGGTCCCTAGTAGCACTAGGTCCCCACCCTGGATGGTGGCCTAGAGCCAGACAGACCCAGCTCTGCTGCCGACTGTGGACCTGAGCCAGTCGGCTCACCTCTTGGAGCCTCTGTTTCCTCCTGTCAATGGGAGCTGCCTCACAGGGTTGCTGGGGATCCAGGAGGTGCCGTCAGATCTGGCGGTACTCAGTGGGGAGGGGTGATGACAGGGAGGCCCTGATTCTCACCAGCACCGCTTATTCTGGATCTGGGCTGGAAGGGCTCCGAGAGATCCCTTCCTCCAGCTGCCAAAGTACCGAGGAGGAGCCTGAGGGCCAGAGAGGCCCAGAGAGGGCTCCCCTGACCCTGAGGTCGCCGGCTTCCTGGAAGTGCTGGGCTCCCCTCTTAGGTGGGTTGCCCCCCGCCCCCACCGGCCTTCGGTCTCTCCCCTCATAGAAGTGACCATCCGGCCCACACTGATGCCCTACCCCGAGCTCTACAACTGGGACAGCTGTGCCCAGTTTGTGGCGGACTTCCTCTCCGTGGTGCCCCTGTCCGACCCCCTCAAGCCGGTACGTGCCACCCTGGGAAGGTCTGGAGAAAGGGGCTCAGCAGGACACAGGCCACAGCCCACGAGTCTGTCTGGGGGTGTGGCGGGAACAGGCCCAGAGAGAGGCGGTCACTTACCCGAGGTCACAGAGCACAGCGGTCTCCTGACTCACACCCCTTCGCCTCCTTGGTCTCTTTCTGGCTTCAGAATCTTCCCTTCGCAGCTTAGCACTGGACTCCTTCTGTCCAGCCCTGTGACCCAGGTCACGTCCCTGAGTCTCTCAGGGACTGAGTTTCCCCATCTGTAGACAAAATGGCACAGGATGAATCCAAAGGCTGTACAGCGGCAGCTCACAGGCTGGCAGGGACTCCCAGACTGTTGTACTTGGCCCACATGGTGATTTTTAACAAACATATTGGCTGCCAGCATTTGAAGCTCGGAGACTCCCCTGCAGTCCCTACTCCCCGTTTCCCTTATCTGGTCACCCCAGGCCTGCGTTTCGCTTGCAGCAGGGGCTGCATTGGGGCTGCCCCTCACGTGAGGCCATGCGCGATCCATTCCTCGAATCTACAGGGAGACTGGAAGGCCTGGCCCACACAGGAGGTGGGGGACAGACGGGGGGCCCTTGCTGCTCTTGGCCCACAGCCTCGTCTTTGAGCTTCTGACCGGCTCAATGGGCTTCTCATGGAGAAGGGCGGGAGGGTGGGAGGAAGCGGTAGGTCCACCATGGAGACCTGGGAAAGGGAAGAGAAGGAAAGGATGGGGGGACAAGGCGAGGGGAACTTTGAATAAAACCGCAAAATCGCCCCTCAGAGAGCATTAGACTCGAAGCTTCTTCAGTCCAGAGGGTCTTTTCCATGAGGAAGTTCACGGCCCCTTAAAATTACAGGCAAATGTAGATGGCACTTGCTGGACGTGGGGTCTCCGGTTCTCATCCCACCCTTAGCAGGCTCCTTCCCCCGACAAGGGTGAGGAGCCAAGCGGGGGCCCAGGCTGCGTGGGGCGGACGGCGGGGGCGCAGCAGGCCCGGCCGCGCTGACCTCCCCGCCGCGGCAGCCCTCGCACCTGTTCTCCTCCACCATGGTGCTCAAGTACCAGAAGGGCAACTGCTTCGACTTCAGCACGCTGCTCTGCTCCATGCTCATCGGCTCCGGCTACGACGCCTACTGCGTCAACGGGTACGGCTCGCAGGACCTGTGCCACATGGACCTGACCCGGGAGGTGTGCCCGCTCACCATCACGCCCAGGAAGGTACGGCGGGATGTGCTATCCTGAAAGCAGTGTGTCCCCAGAGCAAC